ATACATTTCAGACGTCTCGCTGTCTAAATCGTGTTATTCTAAGTCACCGCTGTCCATTTAGTGCAGGGGCCTCCAAACTACGGCCCGCGAGGTCCTCTCATCCGGCCCGCGGAGATCTTTTTGTCCACGGAGAAAACGTTGATAGGTGATGGCTGAGGATCTTTGCCCAGAAAAATCAAAGACATGTCCGGAAGAAACTGGCCCCCGAACTGAAATTTGATAGTCAATGCGGCCCTCGGACTAAAAAGTTTGGAGACCCCTGATTTAGTGTGATCGACAATATTCAAGAAAACCATTAAACTACTACCATTTTAATGATGGGATGAAACAGAGAGGGCCTAACAAAAATTTTGTATCTGTGACTAGCGTGTTGTCTCATCGATTCTACTATATCAGTGGTTCTTAACTTGGGTTCGAACTGTGAGTCAGTGTCAGGGGTTATGCGCAGGTCAAGACACACACCTACTCATATGATTCATGATCGGATTTTTAGCGCAATTTCCATACGGACAATAGCGATTATTAACTCGTCATTTCTGGATGTATGGATGTGTGTCCGCAGCCTTTAAGTCGTATCTCCTCCTCAACGAAGCAATATCGAGGACTAGTTCCAAAAGCAAATATGTTAAGCAAGTTCCAAGGATGATTGTGGGCCAAAAAAATTCCCGGAATTCCTTCCTGGATTTCCCGGAAAAGCCATAAAAACTTGAACAAATGCAGTTTTTGCTCCATATCTCGGCAAACAGACCACTTAGCGACTTGAAACATTTACCAATCGATTTCTGCCATAATTTAAAACAATATTGCCGAAGAAAGTTTTCAAAAATATCCTTTCGTTCGGTCACAATTTTTTTTAAATATATTTTAAACTGAGCATCGTGTAGGCCTAGGATGATTTAAACTGAGCATCGTGTAGGAGTTTATATTTATAGGATGATATTTACAAAAAATTAAATTGTCACTAGACTTTTTATTAACTTGTTTTTTTTTAGTGCGGATAACACTATTAAGAAGGGTTCGGTGAATAGTGAATGATCATATGAAACTGGTGGGGTTTGGTACCTCCAAAAATGTTAAGAACCACTGATGTAGATCAAGTAAGACACCTTTCTGGCAACAACAAGCGGAAGTCCAAGAAGAAACAACCAGTCAGCTAGTGATTTACTCATCGGTCGCTGGTGGCTTCATGGAGCGATCACAGGGTCAATTGGCTTTCGGCGTTGACAGAATTTACTTGACTGTGTTAATAAAATATGATGCTTCCAGTGTTTCTTTCATACTTTTTTCGCCAAGGGGTGGGGGACACTTAATTTTAGGGGGGGGGGGGAGGGGGGTGGAGGCGTGCGGACTAAATTTTCAAGGGGAGGGCGGACATTGGTAAAAAAAAAAAATTTCTATATAAATTCCATTTTGTTCGGGTGTGTGTGGGGGGGGGGGGGGGCAGACTTTTTTCGGCCCCCTCCCCACACACCCTCGAAGATATGCCAGGAAGAAACTGAATGCTTCATTGCTAACTTATCATGGCTAAATATAAGTATTGCTTGAATAAATATAATGTATCGAACTTTAGAAATTGATTACTAATTAGTTGTTAATAAAAAAAAAAAAAAAAAAAAAAGCAAACAAGAACTTAAAAGATTAACTTTAATGATTAGTGTTAAGCAAAATACGTATTATTTTAAAAGCTAAAAATATAAAAATGCAGCCCATAACCAAGTGCAGTTACGAAACAAAACAAAAAAAAAAGATTAAAATAAACAGTGTGCTCACCCACTTCTGAAATGAAAAACATCAAAACATGAAATGTTTTAATTCAAATAATACACGCTTTTTCTATATGATGTTGGTTTGTGAGGTGAATGATAACTTGTCAATAGCAACTAGCAACAATGAGGAAGAAGATAAAGACGTAAAGGTTTTATAATGCAATAAGTCTTAAGTTTTCATACACACAGTTAACACATCAAAGGGTGTTTTTTTTAATTATTGAAAACAAACTACAGAGTTAAAAATCTTTATTTTAATATTCATTACAGGTTAATTATTTCTAGAACAATTCGTTTAAATATAAAAAATCGTATAGCTAATAGCTTGCATATTTCAAGATTATAATAATGTGCAATGATAACTAGGAGTGTTAAATTATTTCTAGTCCATTTACTAGACAAGTGTGCTAATTACACTACGCTACACGCGTGTAAAAATAGTTTTTTTTTCTCTGGGCAGGGCATATACTGATATACAACATTACACTATAGATACTCAACAAAATATGTCTACAATATTACAACGAGCTGCGTAAAAGCAGTCTCTAGATGACAAACAATTTTTAAAAAAACTTTAAAAGATTGAGAAACACATTGAAACAACATGCAAAAATAGATTTTCCAATTGAAAACATCTATAATATAATCGGGCTGAGCGTGTCCTTCCTTCCACCCCATGCGGATCATCTCAACGACAGAATCGTTGAGCCTCTCTCCGACTGTGTCGCTGAGAATAAAACCCTTTGGTGGTTTCTCAGTCAACACTGTCGTTGAAAATAAAACAATAATTAAACATGCTCTCCACAATTAGGAAAGCATAAACTGTAGGTGTTTTGAAGCTAATATTCCAGCCATTTTGTTTTGACGAGAGCTAGTCCAGATCTAGACTAGATCTACTTGATCAACGATTTACACTGATGTAAAACCTACGTAGATTCTAAATCAAATCTACAAGATCAGGATTTAGATCTAGAAATCTACATTATTGACTAGACTAGAGAGAAAAAGTTAAAAGTATGCATAGTGCGTCGAAAGTAAATGATAGAATCTAGATCTAGAAAAATGAAAATCTAGTAATTTTTCAGTAGCACTAGACTAGATCTAGATCTAGTCTAGATTGACTAGATAGAAAGATAATTATTTCTGTGGCATAGCTGTCCTTTAGCATTTAGGATCTAGATCTACTCAATTTTAAATCTCTTCTATTTCAAATTGTTTGTAGATCTATATCTACAAGATTAGGCTTAGGTCTAAAAATATACTAAAGTTAAAGCTACACAAGTACACATCATTCCTAAACTTAATGCCATTAATGGCTAAAATTCACTGAGCATTGTTGCACTTAAGACTTAAACGTAAGGCCTAAATACTAAATAAAATTATTACGTTAGCTTAATTTTCGTGACAGCTTTTCTCTTCTTTTTTGCCATGCTTAATTTAAGTCACTTTCATGTGCTGGTAGCTTAAAATAAAACTTGTTTAGTAAGTTTATTTCTTTCTCCCTTTCATAATGCTGCAAATATGAGTAAGACGCTTATTATTATAATTAAATAGCTGCGATAAATAATCATTTGCATCTTTTTGGGGGTATTTCTTTTACATGAACTGTGAAATACGGTATCTCAAATTTTGCGCGTAACTCAAAGCGAAATATTACTCGCTCAACTGCTCGTATTTAAAAAAATCTGGTATGTCGAGGCACTAGAATGTTGAGGTACCACAGGATCTACTATGTATTGAAAGAAAACATAAATTAATTATAGAATAATAGGCAAATATAGTAATAAAGTAGGCCTTATAGCTTTAGATTTTATTCAGCCTACTAATAAATAATTAAATAGGCCTAAAGTAGTACTAGATATTAGTTAAATCACTAGTATTGTGTAGGGTTATTTTTATTAAAAAAACAGATCACATCTTATACATTAAGGCGGGCTCAATAAAATAAAAATAATTTATTTAGGACCTAGGCCTATCTTTTGGAGATCTAAAATTCTAAATGAAAAATAAATTATTAATTAGACCAACAATAGGCATAGTATGCTAAATCTATTTTAGTATTTAAATTTAAGGCTCGGCCATCTACTAAAAATTTTATAAATGTCATAAAATGGCCTACTTAATTATAATTACTAATTACTATTAGGCCTAAGTTTAAACTAGAGATAGCCTATTTTATTAGTAGAAAAAGTATTAGTCATAGTTAAGATGGTATAGCCTTATGTAAATTAATGTAATCAGTGTTAGATATTATGATATCGATCAAGCAATTATTATATAATATCGGAAAGGGGCCTAGCACTCTCTTAGTCATTAGTCTATTAGGTCTTACAAGTAGTTTAGCCTATTTATATATTATAGGGCCTATAGGCTGTTATTTAAATTAGGCCAAAGGCTTATTAGGAAAAGGCTTAATAGGCTTTAGTTTTTAATTAGGCAACAAGGCAGAGGCTTAATGTTGCTTATAGATTTAATTTGAAATTATTATGATATACGCTACTCTGCGACTATCACTATAGACTGCTATAGAGTATATTATAGCCTAGGCCTATCTAAATAAAATAATTCAACTCACTTAGCTTACTATAATTTTTAAAAATGTTTAGTTAAGTATTCAGCTCTCTATGTCAGCTAAGGCCCATAATTGTAATTATCCTACTGTTAGATCTATTAATTATTTAATAATTAGTAGGCCTAATTATAGGAATTAGGTCTGATACATTAAGTCCTATACATTGGTCGTAGAGTAATACTATTGGGCTAGTAATTATATACAATATCTATACAAGCCTACTTATCGTTAATTTGGAAGTCTTTGCATTGACCTTAGTTTTCAGATGTAGCAGCCTAATTTTTATCAGATTATACCATAAAATCAAAAGTAGACTTGTAGATCTTTTTAAAACAAGGCATGAAATATTAATTTAAATAATATAAATTAAACAAATAGCCTAAATAACAACTACACAAAGTTAAAGTCATAATAACTTTTTATAAAGGTATCTTGAATTTCAACTGGAGGTAGTTTTGATAAATATTAGTATTCTGAACATTAAAATAGGTAGACTTAACATACATTTGTTCTGAAAACATATTTAGAAATTGGTTTTAAAAAATGAGGTTAGGATTGGGGTGATAACTAGTTGAGGATTAGATTTGATATTCATTGTGTTTATCCATATTGTAATTTCTCTTTTACAGGTTCATCCAAAAAAAAGGGAAGATCTGATTTTTACCAATAATAAGACTACAGCATACTAAATGACACAAGATGTTCTTTCTCTATTACCTCTTACATTTGACATAAAAGTAGGAAAAGGTATGACAATTATTAATAAGCTGCTTTAAATTTTATAATTTGTTTTTTTTATAACTTAATTGTACCATTTTTATTTCCAATAATGATAAATATAATTTAGTGTCATTTATATTTTAAAATATTTATATTATACTAGATATAATTTACTTCTATAATATTACTATCCAGGTTTAACAGTCTATGCCTACAACATAGATCTCCAGGACTAAAAGTACACAAAATGGCAATCAGTATATCACAAGTGTAATAACACATGCATCTAATCTGCTTCAGTGGCGAGAACTGGGTGAATCCTCTCAAACATTAATCAGGTAAGTTATCACAAGTTTGCTTTGGTTTATTTTGAACATGTTGATTGAGATAGATTTTTATTTGTATAAATATTGTATTTTAAAAAATATTTTACCTAGTAAAACCAAGTCAGTGGTGATGATTGATACAATATCATTATGTATTTTTTTAAATATTTGTTTTGCAAAATATGCTGATTTGCAGGAAGGATATATATATATATATATATATATATATATATATATATATATATATATATATATATATATATATATATATATATATATATATATATATATATATATATATATATATATATATAAAACAGTATCATTTAGTGGTTTGTCTTACAAATTTGAATTATTTACTTAATCTGTCTTAACTGCTCAACAGGAACTAGGCATACCTAATGAGCGTCAAGCTGATACAGTAGATGTACAGAAAAGTTTATACACCAGGTAAATATTGATAAATTTTAAGTTTTCTTTTTTTAAGGATACATGTAGTGTTTTGGGAGAAAGGAATTAAATTATTTAAATTAGGCCTAATAGTTTATTTCTCTAGCTTATGTTTCACTTAAAATAACTTAAATTTTTCCCCCTTTATCACTAAAGCAAAATTTTATAGATATCTATGCCATGATTCATCTCATTCAATCACTTTTTTCTTGTTTTGTTTTGATGTATTAAACTAATTTAAACTAAAGATTTTTTTGTTTTTTTTGCTAATTTTATTATTTCAGATGGATGATTAAGAAAATCATTTTGTTTTGTTTCACGAAGTGAAAAGTGATGTAAAGGGCAACTAATACTTCCATCTACCATAGTTAAACAAGAATCTGCAAATGGTGATAATTGCAATAATCTTGATATATTAATGTTTGGCTTTATAATTATATGCAATTGTTTCATAAATAAATTATTTCTCAAAATTTGATGTATTTGGTTTTCTTACTTTGTACATAAGATGCAAGTGATTGAAAGCTGAAAAGGGTTGTATGTAGTTATAGTATTCCCAGCACAAGTTGACATTAAAACAGCTGAAGCCCTTTAAAAAAAAAAATAATAATAATAATCTAGGAATGCTGTTTCTATTAGCTGAGCATATATTTGGAAAAGAACTTAATTGTTTACCAGAGAATACTGTGACCCAGTTTGTACTCCAGGCAAAAAGTGTCTATGGTTAATATTATTAAGTTAAAGAAAAGTATCAAACAAACAGGATAATATTAATAAGCAAGACCCCCACACTAGAGAAGTATGGAATGAGTGTTGCATGGAATTCAAATCAACTTTGATGTTGCTAATTGCTACACTGGCCATAATTGGCCTACATTGATTTTTGCTGAGGTAGGCAACTGTTTAGATGTCGACTAAATAAAGAAGAAAACTGACACGGCAATACCAAAATCAAGAACTTGTAAAGTTCGTGGTTGCTAAACCGAGAAGTCCTGAGTTCAATCTCCCGTGTAGATGAGGCTCTATAGTTGGGGATAGCAACCTATCTTGGGGATACAACACTTGTTCTTGGATTGACAAAAGATAAGAAAAGAAATCCAGAAAGAAAAGCAGCTGAACGAAGAAGAAAAAGGCTGGATATATTCGGTATCAACTGTACAATTTTAACAGACACACATTTCAAACTACACATGCATTTCAATGACAAAGTTCAGTGAAGCCATAATGTTGAGTTTGACTGAATGAAGAACGATATTGTTATTTCAAGCAAAGTTAAGGTTTATTGTCTTAAAGACATTGTCGTGGATTGATTTAGACTAAGACTTCCCTGTTAAATAAGCCGACAACGATGGCTCTTTTTATTTCTCGTCTTTGATGTTGCTTTCAAGAACTTGTATGAGATTAGATTACCTACATACATAAGGCTACACAGTTTGGAATCTTGGCTTTCTAATAGTGGACCTGGCTACATGACATTACCCCCACCCCGTCAATTACCCCCCCCCCCCCCGGAGGAGACCCCCCCCTCCCGTATTTACCCCCCGGGGCAATTACCCCTTGTCAATAACCCCCCCTGGAGAATCCCCCCCCCCCCCCCGGCCTCAAGTTATGATCCTAACTCAAACTCTATACCTATGTATTTCCTTAATCCTAATCGATAAAAAAATGACCAAACCCTAAGCATTCACCTCAGCCTAAAACTTAACACATAACCAAAACCAACTCTAGACTTAGGTTTCAGCCTAACCTTGACCATAACACTAACCCTAATCCTAGCCTTAATCCTAACCCTGACCATAACACTAACTCTAATTCTGAATCTAACCTTAGCCCTAACGCTAACCCTAACCTTAGCCCGAACGCTAACCCTAACTCTAGCCCTAACTCTAACCCTAGCCCTAACGCTAACCCTAACCATAACCCTAACCTTAGCACAAACGCTAGCCCTAGCCCAAACTCTAACTCTAGCCCTAACTCTAACCCTAGCCCTAACGCTAACCCTAATCCTAACCCTAGCCGTAACCCTAACCATAATCTTAACATTAGCCAGAACGCTAACCCTAACTCTAACCCTAACCCTAGCCCTAACGCTAACCCAAACCCTAACCCTAGCCGTAACCCTAACCATAACCCTAACCCCAGCTGTACCTTAAGAGGTGTGTGCGTGGGGGGGGGGGGGGGGAAGATGTCCTCCTTGGCGGGGGGTAAATGACAGGGGGTAATTGCTTCAGGGGGGGGGGGGGGAGAACTAATAATCTGTAAGTCCTACTATTCAATACATTTGGTTAACATAATGTCGTCACACATGTAAAACAAAATAAGCAGTGTTTTTATTATTTGTATCCTTAAAAAATGCAAAATAAATGCTACGCCATTAACTCAACCCTCTTTTTTCTCGTTACATATCGTCACATAAAGCCACCGCCCAAAATGATGGTGACGTCAATATACAATCATAAAGTGGTCACCCATTAACCACGACTCACTCTTCAGACGATTTTGCACCAAACCCCCCTTCTCTAATTGTAACAAATTTTCGCAAAAAGCCAGATCTTCACTCCCCCCCCCCCCCACCACTCTCTTTAAAAACACTACACCTCAACACATAACCCCCTCCGCCGTTCCCCTGAAACTGCATTTTTACTTTCTCGTATATACGAAGTATAGAGAAAGTCTTGTAATCGTGCAAAAAAAAAAAAAAAAATCGAGATTTTTTACAAATCTCGACGTTTTACACCTCACTGATACGGAAAAACATAATTTTGCAATCTTGTCCGTATGTCTGTGTCTGTGTGTGTCTGTGTGTAAACACAATTACTTGAGTACCGTTACAGCTAGGTTGATGAAATTTCATATATAAGTATTTTATCAAAATCATAGATCCGTATAAACTTTTGAGTGATTTCCGATAACCGAAAGTGGTACTTTTTCTACTTTGAATTTTTCAAAAGCCTATAACTTGAGTACTATTGCAGATAGATAAATGAAATTTCACATGTAAGTAAAAGATCTAATTCTCTACCTTTTGTCAAATTTTGAGTAATTTCCGTTGACAGGAAGTACTAATTTACACTATTTCCGATTTCTCAAAAAACGCACGTAAATTTATAAAGTACTAATAATGTTGCGTACTATTATGCACATCTTTATTTGACGTTCACTTGGTGTGCAATTCTTTTTTCTACGAGGTTTTATTCTATTTTAAAAAGTTTAAGTATTTAAAATGGATTAAAAATCATGTCTATATCCCGAGTTGCCATTCCCCGTAGTGTTATATTATAATATTCGAGAAAGGTTAGGGGAGATCACTCCCGGTTTATTATAATATGTACTGACCTCGATAAACATTGAGTTAATAAATGAATTAATACCAAAAGCAATCTTTTAAAGCCCGAAATAACGGATGAAAGCAAAAATGTGTCGTCACACTTTCCGATCATCCCTTCCCATAAATGAAAAAAAAAGCCTGAACATACTAAAGGAGAGTATGGATGTTGATGGAGGATCCCAACGTTAAAAATTAAAGCAGCGCAAAATTTCAGGAATCCATGTTACATATTATTATTTTCCGTAGGTATAACAAAGGTATTTACATTGTGTTTTATATTTTACGAGCCGCTATCATACGCCGCTATTTAGTTGTTTCATTTTCTACTTTTCAGTAATTCATAATTTGTGAATTTGACAGTAACAATGCTGCCACTGAAAATATTTGCTTTAAAACACTATCAGTATCTCGTTAAGGACGATAACCCCCCCCCCCCCCTCCTTTCCCAAAAATCCTACCCCCCCCCCCCTCCTCGTGAAAGCAGCCCCCTCTGAGTTACCTCCACTAAGTTTAAAATCGTTTCAAACTAAATTATCTGCCCCTAATAGCTGTCACTAAACCCGGCTCTACGATTGTAAACATTTAGCTTGAACCACAGCTCACCAGACCATGTAGGGATGGGGGTGGTAGGGATAGAGAGAAAGAGAGGGGGCTGCTAGGGGCACTTACAGCTTGGTGTTTTCTATGGTATCCATGAAGAGAATTATTTATATAGAAGAAATATATATTAAACCAGCGTACCCGTCCCGCGCGTTGCTGCGGTCTCAGAAGACAGACTGACGCAATATTTTAAGAGGATTCCATAATTACATTAGCAATCACGTATTTTTTTACGCTTGACATTGATTTCTAAATCTAAACAATTTAAATGTAATCAAAGCCGGTATTATTTTGCTTTCATCATAGTTGTTGAGGCGCAAATTCTACCGCACACAGTAGCCCATTGTATCCATAATGTATCGCACTCTTTAAAACGAACGTAGGCGCAATAGTGTTTATGAGGGACCCACACAGGGGCGCTAGACCACACGCCAGTGGTGCAGTAGACAAAAAAATTCCCTACTGTAGGGCGCTCTTTTAAAACTCATAATGTTCCTCCCGAAGCCAGTGGCGCATCGGGTCAAACGAATTGTCATCGAATGTCGTGTGCCACAGGGTCAATATTGTAGAGTGCTCTTTAACACAACCTTAGGATATCTCAGGGCGCCAAATCGCTTCCTGCCGGGGCGCCGGCAGAAGCGCCTGATTCCATATAGTCAAAAATTATTGTTGCCCATCGTGTCTTTAGTGTATAAATTAAAACAAAACAAGTTAATTAAAAAGTCTAGTGACAATTTTAGCGCAATTTCCTTATGTTATCTAAAAATAGCTCTGTCGTAGCGTAAATCAAGAGCAGGGTTAGTAAAACCATTGGTTAGTTATTAAAACGTTTTTTATTAAATAAACCTAACTACTAACTAAACTAAGCACCTTGAAATCAAGAGCAGGGTTATTAAAACCATTGGTTAGTTGAACTTGATTATCAACATGATAATCATTAAGATGATAGATCTCTACTTCCGGCATGTATATACAACCACACCACACGCGTCATCACGTTCAATAGATGCGTCATCGCGTTCCATGGCTGCGCCATCACGTTCAGTAGGCGTGCAAGTTAATTAAAAAAGTCTAGTGACATTTATGCGCAA